CATGCTCTGTGCACCCTGGTGGGGGCGGGCCTACCCCTCACGGGTGGCCCAGGGCACCAAAAGGGCTCGGGCCAGCCCTGGTTCCTATCCCTGCATTTAAAGGGGACATGCTGTTTTAATGCTGTTTTATTTGAAAACAATTTTTTGGGGCTTAAGTCCCTTAAGTCCTTGGAGTCTTTTTTTTTTTCCCCCCTCTCTTCCCCCCTTCAACAGAATTTTTTGCAAGTGGTTATTTTTTTTGGGAGGGGGGAACGTTCAGTATTTTTGTTTCAACCATCTGGCAACCCTATTGAGATGTCATGGAGAGGTTTGGGGGAGCACCCAGGCCCACCCACTACTGCAGGTTCCGACCCAGGGATCCTAAGGCGGCAACAGCAACCGGTAGGGTTATTGCTGCTTTCAAACTGGCAGCTTTTCCCTGGGCCATTTCCTCCCCAAACAATCCCTCCCAGCACCCTTCCCTTGATACCTACTCATCACACCCACACAGCACTTCTACACCACAATTCCTTCTTCCTGTCCTTCACTCTTTTCCTTCCCCTTTTCTTGCCAGGGAGAGACCTTTTAAAGCAGCATCACAGGCCTTAATTGGCTGCAGCTATTTAATTAGCCTTTTGCTTCTAGCATGTTCTAATTGACCCCGGGTGCCTGCCTGATTATGCTGTACTTAGGTTTGGCCTTTTTTTATTCAGGAAAGAGAAAGCTGTTCACCCAAGCTCCAGCAGGCGTTCCCTCCACCAGTGTGTGGTAGGCAGCTGGTCTGGGTCTGTCACAGTGCAAAGAACATTTTTGTCCCAGTGGCATGGATGGAAAACACTTTGCAGAGAGAATATTCTCTATCTACTTTGAGACACGCTCCTGGGAGAATGTGGTTTTGAAGCATTCCACCAGGAGATGAAATGCTTCAGGCTGCCCTGGCCTACCCTGTGATAATGGGAACAGCTCATCATGAAAGAGGCTTAAAGTGGTTGCAGTGTTTACTGTTGGGGTAGAAGTTACATGGCCCTTGCTTAGCTGCCCACAGGAGATATTACCCACTGTTCCAGGAACTGCATGAGAACATGCTGTGATCTTATGTGGTTCGGGAAGGTTGGCAGGAAGGTGGACAGGGCTGTCTGCATTCTGTTTCAGTGACTAATGAGGTGGCAATGACAATTTAAATTCAGCTCTGACTTGCATTGAGAACAATGGGTATATCCTAATAAGTTCATAGGCTACATCTACACTGCAGGCTTGTTGCGCAAAAACTGTTTTGCACAAGAGTTCGTGCACAAAAGGTCTTGTGCAAGAGCGCATCCACACTGCCATGTGCTTTCGCGCAAGAGCATCCATGGCTGTGTGGATGCTCTCTTGCACAAGAAAGCTCTGATGGCCATTTTAGCCATAGGGGTTTCTTGTGCAAGAAACCCCTGTTGCCTGTCCACACTTCCTTCTTGCGCAAGAACTCTTGTGAAAGAGGGCTTATTCCTCATCAGGAAAGGAATAACTTTTGCACAAGAAGCCCTCTGTTCTGACGCTTTACTGTAAATTTACTTGCACAAGAATGCACATTCAGTGTAGACGCTCCGCAAGTTTTTGTGCAAGAACAAGTGTTCTTGCGCAAAAAGCCTGAAGTGTAGACATAGCCATACAGAGTACAGGGGACTGCACTGACACTGGTCGTTGGGGAAAGGGGGGAAATAGCTATGTAGCTATTAGCCCCTGCTATAATATGTTTGTGGCGGAATGAACATTGTAAACCTTGTGCTAAAAGAATCTCTAAAATAAACTCAGTGCTCACCCAAAACAACACATGGCTGTGCAGAGAAGGAAGGTCAGTTTACCCATTCTGTGGACGACTTGGGTGGTAATGGGTTGGCGACAGCTTGGACATATTGTTCCTGCTGGCTTGCTTGTAAAGATTCCTGCTACAATGACTGGAGGCTGAGACACCACATAGACTGTTTCTAGGAAGAAATGAGAAAAGTAAAATGTGAATCAGAATTGCACCCATTATGCTCCACTGATTTTTCCCTTACCATTTCCCTTGCTCCCCTCCTCTCCTTCCCCCTCCCCTCCTCCGGCCAACCTATTCATTTCTATAGCAGCTTAATCAATCGAAATAAGAGCAACGCCATCTAGCTGTTCTATTCACAATCTATTCAACTCAAAGGTTTAGCTGTGTTTGAGTTCAAATGGACTGAAGTTTGCTTGGTATTTTTTTGTTCAGAATGACACGAGGAGGGGTGTGAATTCCTGGGAATGGAACCAAAATACTCTTTGCACTCTACAGTGAAACCAGCAAGTTCTGAATAGCTGTACTGCCCCCTCCCATGCTTTCTTGTGTACTGAAGCAGCATTGCAAAGGTAGCTTGACTTGATAAATGTCTTTCTATTTGGTATGGCAGAAGAGTGGAAACATTATTAGCAAATAATTCAGATTTCCAAATGAATTGCTTTGGCCTGGATCTGTGCCCCATTTCTGTTTTTCTGTCAATAATTACACAAAGAAGTTTGCTGGCATGGCAGCTATATCTGAAAAGTGAATTGTCAGAAATTGCTTCAGAATTTTAATGAAAAGCTCACTGAATTGGTAATCGTGAGCATTTGCACTAGAAATCTACATCTAGAAGTTACACTCAGCAGGTTTGGGAGTGGATCAGATGGTATGTTTCTAACATATGTGGTTTAGAGAGCTTGCTTTACAGATATTGACCAATCACATTGGTGATCTATCTAGTTCAGTATACTCTGTCCTACTGGGAAGTGCTAAGATCCAAACTGGCAAGAGTCCAATGTAAACCCATTGTGAATGCTCTTGGAATAACATCCCCCCCTCCCCTGAGAATGCTTCTTTCTTCCACCCATCAACGACTGGTTGGCTAGTACTTTGAAAAATGCAGGTTTGCATCCTGAATTTTAAAATAAAATCTATCCTAATGCAACTGTTCACGTGCTCTTTGATTAAGGCAATATCCTGAAACAATATTCCTCAATGTGGGTGGCAGGCTCACTTTGAGAAAGCCACTTTGTTTAGATAAAGGCTCTGTAGCCATGGAGCATCCCTGCTCCCATTGGCCCAGTCCACTGTTTCCAGCCAAGGGGCGCCATGGGGAGCTTTTGCTTGGTCCATATACTAAATCTCTGAGCGCCTTCAGGAAAAAGCATTTCTGGTACTTACCAACAGGGGTTGGTGGTTGCATGCATGAATATGGTGGGGCAGAAGGGCAACAATAATCCTCTGAAATTAGAAAAAAAAATACAATGATGCAGAAGCTTCTACCTCCAAGACACTCACTTGGAATCTTGGACAGTCACAGTTTGGAGAGGCGTTGCTATGCCATGGCTCGCAAGAGTCCTATCTCAGCTAGATGTACTACAAGATATGCAACCAATGACAACCTGAGGGAAGTCAGCCAGGGCCGGTTTGATGAAAGCCAAAAGGGACCTTTGCAGGGGCAGCCCGTGCCTATAGGCAAACTCGGCAGCCACCTAGAGCGCCAAGTTAAATGGGGTGCCAAATTCCCTGCCACCTCCCCTTCCTGTAATGCCTGGAGGAGGAGCGCTGCAGCTTCCCTGTGCCGCAGGAGGGGTGAATCAGCCCCAGCGGAGGAGCGTGGGGAGTTGGCCACAGGGGAGGGTCATCCCCTGCACTATGGGAGGGGGGGTTGGCCCCAGGAGAGGCGCGCGCCAGGTTCCCCTGTGCCGCCGGGGGGAGGGGGTCGTCCCCGGGGGAGGCACATGCTGGCTTCCCCTGCGCTGCGGGAGGGGGGGGTCGTCCCTGGGGGAGGCGCGCACCGACTTCCCCTGCACCGCAGGAGTAGGGGGTCATCCCCGGGACGCCTCCCCTGTGGGGGGGGGAATCCTGGGAGGAGGTGGGTGCAGGGGACTCTCTCCCCCCACTGGCACTCTGTTCCCTCTCCCTATTCCTCTCTCCCTAGCCACAGAACTCCGTCCCCAGCCCCCCTCTCTCCAGCCACAGCACTCCATCGCCAGCCCCCCTCTCCCCAGCGATGTGGTGGTAATGGCAGTTAAAGCAGGACTATTTTGGATTTGTAATAATAAAAATTATAATTAACATTTGTAATGCATTTTATTTGAAATCGTACTGAAATATCGTCTAACTGTCAAGTACAAATCTATTCTGAAAATTTTGTGTCTCTATTTTAATCCAACATTGGTTGGACAGACAAACCGAATAATTATGCCTGTTTAAATAAATACGCTTAAAAAACATTAAATGGAAAATAGGGGCAAAATGTTTCCCAGTTTACCAAAAACCTCAGCCTATATCTGCCCTTGGGGAGCGGGCGCGCCGATTGCATGGTTTGCGTAGGGCGTCAGTTGCTGGCAGCTAGGCTAGGGGCAGGCTGTCCCTGGACCTCTGTAAGTATTGAGTCTGACCTCTGGTGGTATTGCCTAAGCCAGAGAACTTCCCCCAGTAATTTCACTATCACTTCTGTTGGAGCTACAGCTGAGATTTTTAGAAAGTGCTGGAAAACCCACCATATCCCTAACTGAGTTGTTCCTGGAGCTAATCATCTGTTCTGCTTAAAACCGTGTTCCTTATTCCTTGCCTAAATTTGTCTCATTTCGGCTTTCACCCATTGGACCTTGCCGTGCTTTTTCTTGTTGTTTTTGCTAAATTAAAGAGCCACCCACTATCAGAAATCTCTCCTGCATTTGTAGGTCACAATCAAAACATCGCCTGTTTAAGAAGAATGTGGCTACAGCTGACCCAACACTCAAATCTCTGCAAGAGCACAAAGCACTTGAACTATCTGCCTATAGGTTTGCCAGCTCAGCTTAACTGATGATTTATAGAACCAAATACTGGCCAGCCTTCCTGCGACTAGGGCAACAAAGGATGGTTACTGTCTCTGTGGTACTTCCTGTTCACATCACTTCCCCCAGGCAAAGTGTGTAGTCCAGAGGCATAGTCTGTCTATATCTCTTGGCTCTCTGACCCTGCACTGTACTTTGACTGTACTGGTCCTGCTCAAGGAGCAAGGTCCTACTCTGGCCAACACGTGTTAGCCTTTCTAGAACTAGCCCATCCCAATGCCAAACAGCAGTGCTGGGAAGGGAAGGAGGAGAAGAAAGCGCAGTGTTGGCAAACACCATCAGCACAAGGACACATGACCCCAGGTTAGATCCTGGGCTACAGTTCAGAAGCAAATGGCACAGCTCAGGACGGGGAATGCAAAAATGTTCAAAGCCTCCCATTTCCTTCATGCTGGGCCAGCTGTGTGCCGGGTTACTCCCCAGGCATCAAGCCTGGAACCTGAGCCCTCATGTCCTTCTATGCCTCTGGCAGATTCCTCCATTGATGCTTTAGAGCCACTGCAGCACAAAATTTGGGGCAAAGCCTGACTAGTCTAAGGCCTGCTCTACACTGGGAGTGTGTCTAGACTACATGGCTCCATCGACGGAGCTATGTAAACTAGTTTACTCGACATAGTCAATGAAGCAGGGATTTAAATAATCCCTGCTTCATTAAAATAAAAATGGTCGCTGCGCTGTGCTGACAATCAGCTGATCCAGCACAGCGCGGCAGTCTAGACACGGCCTGGTCGACAAGGGAAGCCTTTGTCAACCGCTCCGGTATGACTCTTGAAACTTTAATTTCATTTCCTATGTGGCTAGCATGACAAGCAGAGCTCAGAGCAGGCAGCGCACCCGAGCAGCACACCTGACCATGAGCTCTATGAATTCCTGGGGGTACAGATGAGCACCAGCATAGAACATGCAGGAAATCCCGTAACTCATTGCTGTATGGGGAGAGGAACCTGTTCTCACAAAACTACAAACCAACAAAAGCAATACAGATATCATCTATGCAAAGACCTCAAAGGGCATGGAGGACAAAAGATATGCCAGAAGTGCCCAGTGAAAATAAAGGAGCTGAGGCAGTCGTACTAGGAGACAAAGGAGGCAAACGTACAGTCTGGATCATTGCTGCAAACATGCCACTTCTATCAGCAGCTACATGAGATCCTGGGTGAGGGGGGACCCGACCAGCTCCCCTATCCAGTACATAGATTTCTCCAAAGACACTCCTCTGGCAGCCTAGGGCAGCAGTGTGGAGGACAGCAGAGATGAGGAAGCGGCGAAGGAGAATGGTCAGCAGGTGTATGGGACAAACAAAGTTACTGAGAGCCAAGAACTTTTTAAAACCTTGGAAACAATCCCCTCCTCCCAGGACATCTTGCAGTCAAGCATTGATCCCAGGGAGGGCAATTCTGGTGAGTTCACAATTTTTATATTGCTACAAGTGCATTAAGGTTACTGGGTGTGATCTGTGGCGGCCTGTGTGCCTACACAGCAGAGGGTCTCTGGGACAGCTTTTTAACATGTCTGAAGATGGAAAGGGAATCCTCTCTGCACATCTCCATAACACTCATAGAGGTTCTCTTTCATCCTTTTCACAAGGTTTCTAGGGAGGCCTGCTTTATTCCAGTCTCCATGGTAGCACACCTTTCCACACCAAGCCAGCAGGAAGTGGTCTGGCAGCATTGCAGCATAAGGTCCAAATTCAGTCAGAATCTACTCCCTACGGGTTTGTCTAGACTACATGCTTCTGCTGACAGAGGCATGTAAAATAGGCTACCCAACATAGTCAATGAAGCGGGGATTTAAATATCCCCAGCTTCATTAAAATAAAAATGGCTGCCGCGCTGTGCTGGCTCAGCTGCTTGTCGGCACAGCACGCGAGTCAAGACGTGGATCTGTCGACGGGACACCTTTGTTGACTGCTCCCTCATGCCTTGTGGAACAAGGTTTACAGGAGCGGTCGACAAAGGCATTTCCTGTCGACTGATCCACGTCTTGACTTGCGCGTTGTGCCAATGATCAGCTGAGCCGGAACAGCGCGGCAGCCATTTTTATTTTAATGAAGCTGGGGATATTTAAATCCCCACTTCACTGACTATGTCGGGTAGCCTATTTTACATGCCTCTGTCGGCAGAGGCATGTAGTCTAGACATACCCTATCACTCTGTGTGATTCAGAGAAGACTGATGTTTAACATGGCAACCTGGATAAAACAGGGGACACTATTAGCTGATGCCTTTGCAATAAATCCGCATTAGCTCATCCCCAATGAAGCATGGCTTGAGCCTTGCCCTGCCACTGCACAAATCTGAAGGTGAAATCTAGGGATGACATGTTCAAGGAGCAACTGCTATCCACCCTTTTGGACAGGGAGCATGTAAGCAAGTGGAGGAATACGCTGCTGGAGGAGATGTGTGCGGAGCATGAGGACAGGAGAGCATGCAGGGAACTGGAAGTAAGGAATAAGAAGAGAGTCTTGTCATCAATGGCCGATGTGCTGGGCCACATGGTGGCTTTCCAGGACACCTACATGCACAGGCAGCAGTTCCAGTCCTTGCAGACCAAGATGCCCTCCTCACTGAGGCTATGTCTAGACTACAGGCTTTTTGCGCAAGAAGCATTTTTGGAAGAGTTCTTCCGAAAGAGCACGTCCCCACAGAAAAGCACATTGAAAAAGTGATGCGCTTCTGTAAAAAAGAGCATCCAGACTCATTGGATGCTCTCTCGCATGAAAGGCCACCCAGAACCACTTCAGCCAGGGCTTTAGGTCACCAGATGCTTCCGAGTGCTGGTGCCGGAGCCTTGCAGAGACACACGCTTAAAGGATTCTCCCTGGACAGACGTTTCTGTGCTTCTGCTGTGTGCTGGCTACCACTTGGAGGGACAGCAAAGCTCTCGCAGTGCCTGCTGTGGTTGCCCTGTTCTTTTTTGAATGCCGCAGCTTTTCTCTTGGTGCCATGGAGCCGGAGCTGCCCCTGGGCATGCGATGGCCCCATATGGCCATGCTGCAGTTTTTGCAGCACTTTGTTCTAGCTGCCTTCCTGGTCCTGCAGAACCTGGACCCTGGATCAGGTGCAGCTCCTTATAGTAGGGGCAGGTGTGGGGTCCTGCCCCTGAGTGGGAGCTGCCGTCTGTGGCCCAGACATATCCCTGGCGGAGCTCTTTTACTTTACTCCAGACCTGTTCCATGGTCCAGGGTGGGTGTCTGCGCTCCGCCAGGGAGGTGACTATCTGGCCATAAATGTCGGCCAGATAGCCCCTGGGGCTGCTTCCTGTGAGGGCCAGGGAGATCGCAGGGTGCTTCAGGGGCAGACATGGCTTTGGCAGGGAAAGCTGTGCAGTTAACTGCTGCTCTCTGTTTGACTTCCTGCCATGAGGCTTGTCCAGGGTGCCTGCAGCTTTAAGAGGGGCCAGGAGACAGGAACTATAGTGTTGTGATTGGATTGTATGGAGTGGCCACCAGGACACCTGTGCTTTTTCTTGGATGCCTCTTCTTGCGCAAAAAAAAAAACCCTCCTCCCCATCCACACACGCCTTTTTGAGAAAGGCTTCTTCCTCATAGAATGAGGACTAGCAGTTGTGCAAACCCCCCTCTGTTCTTTCAGTTTATTGTCAAAAGAAAGCGCTTGCAGTGTGGCCATAACTCAGGTTTTGACAGAAAAACGGCTGTTTTTCCGACAAAACTCTGTAGTCTGGACATAGCCTGAGTTCCATCGTCTCCTCTCTCAGGGGCCCTCGAACATGGGGAGAAGTCAAGGGCAGCCTCACAGTCAATCCTCAGGGATGAGTCATGAAGCAAAAGGCTATCCTTCTTGCAACTGCACTCATCCCCCTCCCCTCACAGCTGCAGCTCCCACCCTGGAGTCCTTTTCTGTCCCTGCTGCATTCCATAAATAAAAACATGTGATATCTGAGCAACAATCTCTTTATTGCTTGTGTTGAAGGGAGGGGGGCAGTTCACAGGCAAGCACACTGAATGCAATGGCACCTTGTTGAAAGCAACGTGCATCACTCTTACAACTGGCCACTCATTGATTTGCACTGTGCTCTCCTTATTGCCCTGGTATCTGGCTGCTCAGAATCCCTGACTAGGTGCTATACCTTGACCCCCACCCTGCCAGATAACTTCCCCCTTATTTTCACAAATATGGATCACACAGTAGGCTGCCACAACAATGGGAATGTTGCATTTGTAGAGATCTAACCTAGTCAGTGTACTTTGGAACCTTCCCTTTAAATGCCCCAAAGCACATTCTGAACTTGCTCAGCCTGTAGTTGAACTGCTCCTTACTGAGTCCAGGCTGCCCATATACAGTTTGATAAGCCATGGGAACAAGGGGTAGGCTGGGTCGCCAAGGATCACAAGTGGCATTTCAATGTCTCTGAGGGCAATTTTCTTATCTGGGAAAACAGTTCCAGCTTGCAGCTTGCCAAAGAGGCAGTGTAACCATCACTGGGCAGATTTGAATCTGGAATCTCTGAAGCTAATATAGGAGCCTCTACATTTGAACTATAAAGCCAGCTGGCTCCTATACCAGGTTCAGAGGTCCCAAGTTCAAATCCGTCTGGCGGCAGTTACAAGTCAGGGCTCATCCAGGCCCCCCCCCCCCCCAACCAAAGTGGGGTCACCCAACACCAGCTTTGGCGATGGATGGATGGACCTGGAACCCTTGAAACAAAGGAAGGATAACGGGGGGCCCAGATTGTTGGGAGGTTGGGTGCCTCCTACAGTGGATAAGGCACCTGCCTCCAGAACCAGAGTTCAAGCCCCACCCACCCTCGAAGCACCAGGCTCCACAGGGACAGAGCCAGCACCCTTGGGACTTAGCAAGGATAAGGAATCTCATCTAGGTCTCTGAAGCTGGGGACACACTTCCTCAGCTAGGGGAAGCATGAAATCCCCACAAGTCATGTGGTTCACTGTCCCATGCAGTAGCACCTGCACTGCAGCAGATAAGATCAAGAAACCTCTACAAGCTAGCCTGAGAGCCAGCTAGCTTTATAGCTCTAGCTGGTAGAGGCTCCCATACTAAGCTTCAGAGGGCCCACGTGCAAATCTGCCTGCTGGCAGTTACAGCAGGCATTCCTACAGATGTGTGCATCATGCACATGCACCTTTCCTGACCGTCCCATGTTGATGTCAGTGAAATAGTTCTTGTGACCCTGCAGTACCATCCAGAAGTACCCCTGGGCTGTGTCTAGACTGGTAAGTTTTTCCACAAAAGCAGGTGCTTTTGTGGAAAAACTTGCCAGCTGTCTATACTGGCTGCTTGAATTTCCGCAAGAACACTGACGATCTCATGTAAGAAATCAGTGCTTCTTGCGGAAATACTATGCTGCTCCCGTTTGCGCAAAAGGGCCAGTGTAGACAGCTCAAATTTGTTTTGCGCAAAAAAGCCCCGATCGCAAAAATGGCGATCGGGGCCAGTCTAGACGTAGCTCTGCAGTTTATATACTCCTGGACAAGTCGGTCAGATGCTAAGGTAGGGATGTGTGTTCCATCTATCCCCCCACCACAATAGCCATATTAGAAGGGTATTAATGACCTTGGCTACTTGGATCATGACAGCCCCCACTGTAGATTTTCCCCAGTGAAAGAAAGCTTCAGGAAACTGTCCTGTGAATAAAACTGAACTGGATCTACCTGACTCCCTCCACTTAAAGCTGAGTGGGAGATTTAGGGCTGTCCTACACAAGATGTTACTGGGTAGCAAGACAGGGTGTGAATCTACATTGCTGGCTGCTTGCTGCACAGTAATGTCCCAGTCTGACCAACCATTTTCTGGCCTTCCAGCTTCTCTGCACGTGCCTCAATTTGGTGCCCTATTTGTATGCCCCCCCCCCAATGTGTGAGGTTGGTGGGACACAGAACAACCCAAACGTCTCTGTTCTTACAATGGACATACAGTTTGTCAGTAGGATGCCTCATCAGAACCCCGGCTGCTTGCTGCACAGTAATGTCCCAGTCTGACCAACCATTTTCTGGCCTTCCAGCTTCTCTGCACGTGCCTCAATTTGGTGCCCTATTTGTATGCCCCCCCCCCAATGTGTGAGGTTGGTGGGACACAGAACAACCCAAACGTCTCTGTTCTTACAATGGACATACAGTTTGTCAGTAGGATGCCTCATCAGAACCCCGTAC